GTTAGACTTTGAGGGCATCCAGCATTTAACAGAAGAAATCAAAGGGAAGAAAGCACTGAAAGATGAAATATAAAACTTGGTTTGACTGTCTGGTTTTGGGTAGAGAATATGATGAATTTTCTGTGATTCTTTGTCAATATTTTCAGAGTGTACGGTTTACTACTCACCAGGTTTCGCTTCTGAAAGATTCTGAAAATCCTTTAAATCTTTTAAAAGCTAAAGGTTGACTGCCTCATTTCCAAGAATGAAGAAGTCTTGCGGGTGAAGAGAGGTGGCCTGAGGAAGTGGGAATAGCATTGGAGAAATCAAAGAAATGTGGATTCCATTCTCAGTTCTAGCCTCAATTAGCTGTGTGACGTGGACAAGCCACTCTGCCTGAGGGGTCTCAGCTACTTCATATGCCTGTCACCCCGTGTTTCTGGTCACATGACCTTGGAGTAAGTCTCGATCACAATGATGGGTGTAGGCAGCAGTCCTCTGGCTCCAGTCTTTGCCCATCAGTGCAGGACATTAAGTCCCCACGCTGTTTCTAGGTGTCACCCAGAGGTGACTCATATGTGCTCATGAGCCTAGTGATTTTAATTGCTTATGATTTATACCTTCTTCATTCTCCCTACTTTTTGACTCTCTTTGTGAGTCTGTAGCTGCAGCTTCCCAAATGAGACTTAAAGGTCTTCCCCCGACACCAAGGCTGCAGCTCAGGGTTCTACTAAGCGCTGAGTGACATCTCTGTGGACCTCAGGGCACCAAAGTGGGTGGAGCTCCCCCTTTGGGGTTCCCCTCTGTCACCTGGTGCAGGGCTGCCTTGAGCTCCCTATGCTCACAGAGCGGTCAGTGACATTACTCTTCAACATTTTGTTTCCTACAGCCTCCACACTCCCCCGAGTACTGCTCCAAGTCTGGCTGGGTAAAGAGAGGAAGGCAAAGAGGAGGAGGCTATAAACATATACTAGTGAAGCCACGTGAGCCAGACACGCAGAGGGAAACTTCTTTCGTGGCTGTCCACTCTGCTTAGGCTTCTAGCGTGCCTCAAAGGGTTAGGAGAGTTCCTACCCAGAGACAGGACCAGGTAACTTACCCAGGGATCATCTAATTTGAACATTACCATAAACTCAAAGTGTTTTAGGAGCAGGCCCATCCTTATTGTATTGGGTTTAAAGAGTCCGGGCAATGCACCAAATGAGATGGTTTCCTGAAATCACTCCATTGGAGATTTAGTCCTTTGGATTTTATGTATTGTCCAGTCCTCTATAAAAGTACTAATAATCCTGGGCTTCATTTGAAAAGAGTCTTGTTTGTTAGCTGGCTGATGGAAAGACAATGCAGAAACAGGCCATAGTTTGGAGCCTCAGAAAGAGAAAGAGGTAGAGAGTAAGAGTTATGTCATTTTTTGGTTCCTGTCATCATGCAGCTTATTTATTCATCCTTTATTATTGCAAAAACATTAATTGAGGGCTTTTAGGGGTTGCATTGTGTCCCTCCAAAACGTATGTTAAGGTCCTAATCTCCAATACCTCAGAATGTGGCCCTATTTGGAAATAGTGTCATTGCAGATACAATTAGTTAAGATGAGGTCATACTGGACTAGGGTTGGCCCATAATCCAATATGACCTGTGCTCTTATAAGAAGATGGTCATGTGAAAACACAGAGACACAGGGAGAATGCCAGGTGAAGATGGAGGATTAGAGTGATGCATCCACGAGCCAAGGAACACCAAAGATTGCTAGAAAACCACCAGAAGCTAGGAAGAGGCAAGGAAGGATTCCCCTGTAGGTTTCAGAAGGAGCACGACTCTGCAACACCTTGATTCCAGACTTCTAGCTTCCAGAATTCTGAGACAACATATTTCTGCTGTATTAAGTCATCCAGTTTGTGGTATTTTGTTATAGGAAATCTAGGAAACTAACACAAGGGCATATGTGCCAAATCTCATTCTACTGGCTTTGGATCAAAGTCAAAGAAGATGTGGTCCTATCCTCAAGGAAATGCCAGGTAGGATTTTAAAAAAAGAAAAAGAGAGATTGGTTAAGAGATTTGTATTGTTAGGAGAAGGGCTTGAGGAACTCAGTACACATACTCTAAAATAAGTGAAAGGATTGAACTGAAAAAGTGAAGCTCTGATAGGATGATACTGTAGGTAAGATGCCTCTGTCTTCTTTTAGAAGGCTTGAAATGACAGCTTTGGAGATTGAAAAGACAGTTTAAGTTTACAATAGCAAGGAAGCAGTGATCACTAGAAGTCAGCATGAGCTTACCAAGAACAGGACCTGTCAGGGCCAGCTCATCACCTTTGACAGGGAAGTCAGACTGGTAGATGACAAAAGGTAGCAGGCAAAGTGTAGCAAGAATTGATTGACCAGCCTGGTGGTTCTCCTCATGATGTCTTTACGGACATCACGGGTGGTTGAGTTAGGAACTGAGTGAGTGGCTGTAAGTAGGACTGATGATTCATTAACGGAGCTGTATCCACCTGGGTTGAGGTATTCAGTGAAATGCCATGGAGCTCTTACCTAAGTGCTGCCCTGTTTGACACTTTTAGTGACCTGGAAGAGTCAGGCACCGTCAAATTTGTCTTTGATGGGCCAGATCTACACCTACATCTACACCTGGATGAATGGCTCTCAGTTGTGGATGCAACCACAAACTTAAGGAGGGCAAATGGAAGCCGGAAGATGTTTTGAAGAGAGTGACCAAGTTGGTGAGATATTTGAGGATATTCAGGCTAAACAATAGAGGACACAAGAAGGACATGACAGCTGAGAGGGTGTGTTTTACCTGGACTGAAGGGATGTGATCAATGGGTCAAACAACAGGAAGGCAATCTCAGCCTGATATAGAAGGGACTTTCTGATGTTGGTGTTTTTTTTTTTTTTTTTTAAATGCAGGCAATGAAATGTGAAAGATAGCAAATCTCTATGGATTAATCTATAAATTTAGTAAAAATTCTAGCAGGAATTTTTTTAAAGAATCTAACAACTTACTTTACATATATGGAAGTATAGAGGCCTATAAATAGATGAATCAATTTTGAAAAAGAAGAGCAAAAATGTTACTTTGTCCAAAGAATGATAAGATGCATCATAAAGCCATGATGATAAAACAGTGTGGATTTGGTTCAGCCACAGGTAATAAGACAATGGAACAGAAGAAAGAGCTCAGCCACAAGTTGCCATGTGTTTAGGGGAACTTGGTGTATGATGGAGATACTACTCGAATCAATGAAGCAAATGGATGGACTGCTCAGTGGGTGTTGTTGAGGAAACTGATGGACTTTATACAGAAAAATATAGTTGGAAAGCTTATACAATATACAAAGATGGGTGTAGATAGATGAAAGAACTAAATGTGAAAGATGAACTCTAAAGCAAATAGAAAAAAATATAGAAATATGTATTTGTGATTTTGGAGTAGAAAGAACTTAAAATTTTCAAAGCACAAAGCATAAGGGAAAAATTATTCAATTGTCTATTTCAAAATTAAGGATTTTGAGTGATAGTACATACAAAGTTATCAGATTACTGACAGATTGGGAAAAGTTATTTGCAATGTCAACACCATAAGAGATTAATACCTAGCTATACAAAATACCACACAAGTAAATATCTGGGATATACAAGCAAATCCACAAGTAAACGATAGGAAGCCTATTTGGAAAATAGTCCTATGAAAATGAGAGTGACCATTGCCACTCACATTAAAAGTGAGACCTTGGTTTCCTCATCACTCATTCAATAAACATTTACTGAGTGCCTATCACACAGCAGTACTGTTCTAGGTACTGGGGATACAGCAGACAAAATTCCCTACCCTTATGGAGTTTAAATACTCCACAATGTTCTCTCCCACCAAGAGGAAAAAGAAATTAGTTTCTACTAAGTGAATTTTCGTTTTAAATCACAGTCATGTCATTTTAAAGTTGGAAGACTTTTTAGGGTGCATTTCTTCTAAACCCACACCTTCACATGATGATAAACAACTTCCTAGACCAGTCACACAGGTCTGACAGGCATACAAAGCTGATGCTAGTCTGGGTTTAGAATGTAAAGCCCAGTGGTTAGGTGGATCCAGAAGGCCTGGTATTGAATCACAGCTCTTCCTCTACAATCTGTGCATGATATTTGGCAACCTTTCTGAGCTTCAATTTCTTTCTTTCTTTTTTTTTTTGTGAAGAAGATCGGCCCTGAGCTAACATCTGCCAATCCTCCTCTTTTTGCTGAGGAAGACTGGCCCTGGGCTAACATCCTTGCCCATCTTCCTCCACTTTATATGGGACGCTGTCACAGCATGGCTTGACAAGCTGTGCGCCGGTGCGCGCCCGAGATCCGAACCGGCGAACCCCGGGCCGCCGCAGCGGAGCACGCATACTTAACCGCTTGCGCCACCGGGCCGGCCCCTGAGCTTCAATTTCTTCATCAGTAAAATGGCGCTAATGATGAGATGTCATAAAATTGGTATAAGGATTAAATGAGATCATATAAAACAGATCAGCATCTGACACATGATAAAAACTCAATGTTGGCTATTTTTACTTCTATATCTTGATTATGATGTTATGATTCCCAAAATTGTTATTTTCCTGCACACTATATTTCAAAATTAGTATGGCAACACCTCTGGGTTATTAATCAGCCAATTAATTTTTTCTTTAATAATCAAAAAGAAATTCATATGCATTCCCTGAGACTGTACCCTAGTGGTGTATGAGGTGTGTCTTATGGATTAACTATTAATCCTAGTGTGTGAAACCTGAATTCAGGGTTGTAGGGCTGGAAGGGATGTAAGAGACCATCTTGCCAGTCCCAGCCCTTTTCCACACGTGGGGACTCAAGGGCCTGGAGGAGGTAAGTGCTATGCCCTGAGTTTGCACAGCTAGAATGATGGCACTGCTTACGTGGCTTTGATTAATTGATTATGATTAGAAAAGATAATTGTGATTAAGAAATCAAGGTTGTGATTAGGAAAGATCAATGTCACCAGCTGGCTTTGTCAAAAGGTATGAACTGGCGACATGAATAATCTCACTTAGTGAGGACATAGACGACTCATGGTTATTTCACACAGGAAGAACTTGCAAGACTTCTAGTTGACTGTCATTCTTTGGTTCAGTAGGTGGAGCCGGTCTTCCTCATTAGAATAAGGTAAACAGATTCAACCCAATTATAAATGGCAAAAAGTATGTGCCCTCCATCATTGAGAGTTGCAGAGTGCCGACTGGCTGGAGACTTTGGGTGCAGCCACGAGAAGTGTCAGAGCATGAGTTCCAAGTCAAAATCTATAGGGATCATCGGAGCTCCTTTCTCAAAGGGCCAGGTGAGTAAAAAGCCTGGCTTTGAATAACCAGAATTTAATAGAAAGTTTCAGACTTTAAAATTAGTAAGGTATTAATATATGGTTAGCTAAGTCTCCTGATACAACCTAGCCCTGAAATATATACTTTAAAGCCCTCTCACCATCTTGCGACATTGTATAATTATGGTCACCAGCCCACTTATTCTTGGGGTGCCTAACCTCAGCCTCAGCCAACTTTATTTGAATCTACTAAATTTTTCCTCATAATTTTTAAGAGAAAACATTTTTATTTGAATGGAAATGCATTGTTTCTGCATTGTAGCTACTCATCGAGATTCCATGCTCTAGTTGCTTTTGGTGTTACCATGTATATGTAGAGAGAGAATTTTAAGAAAATACTTTGCTTTGTTATATAATTAATGTCTAGAAAAATTTCACAGGTTGGCAGCAACTTTTAGACTTCTTTTAATTTGGATAACTTATATATTATTGCTTTATGCAACTTTGTGAATGATTCATATTATTTGAGGGCTTGAATGATTCTACAAAAGTGTTAGTTCATGGACTAGGCAGACTCCTTCATGTACCTCTCTTTGAAGGAGAAAAAAAGAAAAATGAAAGAAAATCTGACTGCAAGTTGGCAACATCGAAAGGACTAATGGATTTACGAAACTCCCAGATTGCCAAAACACGCCAGCAATGTTTAAACATACACTCTTTTTTTTCTGCCTGGGCACACTCATTCTGGTAAATATAAGGAGATTACTCACACCTTAGACTTTAGCATGCGTCTGTGCTTAAAGAGTTAAAAAAAAAAAAGAGCAAAAACAAAAGCATACAAGACCAAGTTGGAATTGAAACTCCTAAGGCTGATTTTTTTGTCATCGTTGTTGTTTTAAATGGAGCCTTCTCCAGGTTTCTCAGAATTCTCTTTGCCCGTCTGGGTAGCATTTTACTCCTGTTAGTTTTGAACTCTTGTTTCGCACTCTGGCTTTTTATTGCAAAATAAATTGAGAAAGGTCACAGATTAGAGACCCAAACTGCATTTGGACTGTCAGTAAATGCTGCTCCACGTCCCCTGGAAATCCTTCAAAGTCTATCTCAGAACACAAGGACATTTTGCTGACACAGTCTCGCTTCTTTTAATGCTGGGGTTAATCGCAAAATCCACAGTATGCTCACCTATTCTTGGGACAGGTTCTAACAAAGATAGGATTGAAATAACTGACAAAAGAGAAGGAAAGGAGGGAGGGAGACAGAAATGAAGAAAGGAAGGAAGGAAAGAAGAAAGGAAGGAAGGGAGGGAGGAAGGGAGGGAGGGAGGCAGGCAGGCAGGCAGGCAGGCAGGAAGGAAGGAAGGAGGGAGTGGGAGATACAGCCTAAACTTGCTGTGGCCCCTGGAGCTGAGCAGAAGGCCTTCTGCTGATAACAGCCCCTTCTAAGGGTCAGTATTTTGAAATATAGCCTGATGCATTTTCTGTTCTCAGTAATTCTTTTTCTTCCCCCTACAGCTCTTCCCCCATTTAAACATGGCCCCATGAGAAAGCAGCTTATCGTCTCATGATAGTAAGGACTCAGAGAGAGAGGTTTTTCTACACTAAGCCGTAGCTTAGAGAAAAAAAAAATGGCATAAGCATCTGTCCTCACCTAAAGGAGGTAAAAGTTTGACAAACAGGCAAAGGAGAGGATTAGAGGGCAGATTACTAGAAGGTTGAGTCTGAGAAAGGACTCCATCACCTGCCTCACCCTGTTAAAAGCCAGTGAGAGGTGGGGGCGGGGAAGTGGCAGCAAAAAATGAAGTAGGCATATTTATTTTATAGTTAACTAGTGCTCAGAGAGGTTTGGTAATTTGCTCAAGGTCACACAGCCTTGACTGTGATTCCAGACAGGACTGTTTAATCCCAAAGCCTGTGCCCCTGACCTGCACTGATGCCTCTTTAGATCCACAGCGGATCCTACACTTGTGGCCATTTAGGGGTTGGGACCCAGCTTCAAAGTCAGTAGAGCTAACAAAATGATGTCCAAAGTGGGCAGATAAACCAAGCAATAAGAAAAGACCAATCGTGAAAAGCAGATTGAATCAAAGCACAAAGATTGCTAGAAAGTGTCACTCTGGGAAATCGAACGACCATGTTAGGATAAATATAATGTCAACTAAGGGGGCTATTGGATTTGTTCCGAAGTTTGAAAGAGAGAGGGAAAAAGGCCAGGGAGTTGGATCAAATTGACAGTTTTTGAGCGGCTGCTATGTGTCAGCTGTACAGGACGAGAGACAGTGTCGCAAGTGTACAGAACATCGGACCGGAAGCTAACAAGGGAGAAAAGACAAAAACAGACGCACACAAAACCAAAGGCAAAACTGGAGCCGAGCAGCACTCGACTGGGGTTTAAAGAAGGAGAAATCACCTCTCCTTGCCGAGCGAGTGGGGGCCACGCAGGAAGAGAACGCAGTGAAGGGGTGGAGTGCACCAGGCAGAGCGCATGGGGTCCCCCACGGCCAGGGACAGGATCTGACATCGAGGATTGTCCTGGCAGCCAGGGCAAGGCATCTGATAATTTGAATTGGGCAGAAATATCTGCTTCGTTTGGTGCCATGGCTCCAATCCCAGGACAGACTCACGTGTCTTTCGTCATGTCTTCTCATCTGACGACAGGAGATAACTCCTGTATCTCAAAGCCTTGTTGGAAGGTAGAATCAGAGAGACACATAAAGGAACTGTTTCCTTGGATGGCTAATCTGCCAGGAGGCTGGAGAAGACTTTACTGCAAGGAGGAAGCCTGTGAGCTTCCGTGATGTAGGAACAGCAGGGTAGCATCCCGTCAACTGTGCTTCAGCCGGTCACACCTTGAAATACCAGGTTGGTCTCTGTGGTTTCAGCTCCCCCGTGATGATTTTCCCTGTTGCCTGCTTTCTCCCCAAGAGCCCTAACGTACCATTGTGGGAACCTGCGCGTAGGTCTCGCTCATGCCACGCTCTTTTTTTTCTTATGCCTTTGTCCAAACTGCTCCCCTGGTTTGCGAAGTTTCTCTATCACTCCATCTGTTTTCCTGGACACCTACTCATGTTGCAACACTCAGCTGAAATGTCATCTTCTCCATGCAGCCTTCCCTGACATGCTCAGTCTTCAGCAGAGTTCGAAGCCTCCTGTTTTGGTTGTTATGACATCTTGTATCTGCATTGAAGCAACTCTCCAAATACTGTAATTGGGGTCAAATATCCAAATCCCCTATCAGCTTATGAGTTACTCAAAGACAGAAGCCTCTCCTTTTCATTATTATATCTCCATCTATCAGAGAGCTTTTGCACAAAATATATGTTGACTACGTTGATAACATGGCATCATGTGAAGAGGAGATGCAGGTTTTGGAATCCAAAGGACCTGGGTATGAACTAAGGCTCTGCCACTTGTTAGCTGTGTGCTGTAGGAAAATTATATAACCTTTCTGATTCTAGATCCTCATATTTGACATCGGAGTCATTCAGTCTACCTGGCTGCGCTGAGTAAATGAGATAATGCAAATTCCTGGCTCTGTAGGAACTCAAAAAATGATAGTTACTATTCAATTGATCAAATAATAAAAAGGGTTCCTATTATGGGCATCTGATGGTCATGATAATGTCTGATTTACCCTATTTTTTAATTGTTCAGCCACGAGGAGGGGTGGAAGAAGGCCCTACAGCACTGAGAAAGGCTGGTCTGCTTGAGAAACTTAAGGAACAAGGTAATTTTTAAGTTGAAAGATATCGGCCTGATTTCCTTCCCACTCTGAAGGAAGGAGCAGGCTCCTGCTAAAAGGGGGCATGTCTGGAACAATATCGAGACCACGGAACTGCAGCACTGGCTAAAACCTTAGACATACATCCTACAAGAAAAGCATTGTATGAGGAGAATCCTCAATAAATACTGTTGGATGAATATCCTCACTCAGTTATTTTGTCTTTCCAGCCAGACTATTGTATAAGAGAATCTGTGTGTGCAAGGACTGGGGTTGGGGTGAGTGGCTGGGCAGTCGGGGGAATTAAAAACGGAAGGCAAGGGGAGCAGGAGTACATTACTAGCAAGAAGACCCCTATTTGTAAAAGGGAAATCAAATAAAACACTAATAATAATACTAATACTTAGTGTTTGCAGAGTGTGTATATGTGTGTGCATCCATACACATATACATATATATACAGGAGCATGCACATGAAAAATGATATATATTTTAAAAGAATAGGCTAAAGTAAATGTCATCTTTATATATAAAACTCTGACGAAGTGTTGGCGAGGATACGGAGCAACTGGAACCCTCATATATTTCAGGTGGGAGTGCTTAATGATACAGCCACTTTGGAAAGCAGTTTGGTACTTGTAAATGTATGTAAATGTAAACATACATTTACCTTTTGACACAGCAAATCTACTCCTAGGTATCAATCCAAGAGAACTGAAAACATACATCCACACAAAGCCACACACATGAATGTCTGTAACAGCATTATTTATCAGAGCCAGAAAATGGAAACAATAAAATACCATCAAAAGCTGAATGACTAGTACAAAGTAGTACATCTATCCATGGGATCATCCTCATCAGTAAAAAGGAGCAGATTACTGATGCAGGCAAGAACATGGATGAATCTCTAAGACAAGATGCTGCGTGAAAGGCCAGATACTTAGACTACATGCTATATGATTGCATTTATAGGAAATTCTTGAAAAGACAAAAGCACAGCAACAGAAAGCAGGTCAGCATTTGCCCGGGGGTGGGGGCAGGGAATGACTGCCAAGGGGCAGGAGGGAATTTTGGGGGGTAATGGAAGTGTTCTAAATCTTGATTTTGGTGGTGGTTGCAAGACTGTAGATATTTCTAAAACTCTTTGACCTGTACCCTTAAAATGAATGAATTTTAGTAAATAAACATTATACCTCATAATGCTAAAAAAAAATAAAGACCCCAACAGAGAACAGAAGGCTTGGGTAAATGGATTGGACTGGTCCCTCAGTTAACGAGCATAATTTGGTTATATTTTATATCTTTATTAAATCTCTTGAAGGTGTTGCTGAATCATGGACATACAGTCATGTAATAGATATATATATTATAAATACAATATACAACGACTAGTTAGTTCAGGACACTGAACTGATCCCATATCATGGTTTTACACGAAGCTCTGTACCTTGAAGCCTAATGCAGGGTTTTTAGGAAGTGTAGCCAGGTCCTTTGGAACTTTGGGTTACCTGTGATTTCTCCTTATTAAAAAAGTATAGTAATAAATCCTTTATTTCCTGAGCTCGCTGTAGTGTTATGGTTGTTGCTAATCACATATGCTTATTTAATTCTGACAATACCACCACAAGGCAGGTACAACGGACAGAGGAGGGAACTGAACTGCTTCAGCAGGTGACAGATTGGACTGAAACCAAGGACTGTTAATGTAGAGTCAGAAAATTTAGAAAATACTGGTGTATTTTCTTCTAAGTATAAATATATATATTCTTTTAAAAAACGACTTCTTTACTACGAATGCAAAACATGGTTATTTTTAAAAAGTAGCAAGCATATAAGCAGAGTGTGACAGAGACAAACAGACAAACACAGTGAGCCACCCATTAAACCCAAACCATAAGGTTACCACTGTCATACTTTAGTGTCTAGCCTACCAGGATTGTTTCAAGAAGCATTTACTGAGAACCCAGGACACAGCAGGGACCAGTGTGTGGCACAGGTGAGATGACGATGTCAGGCAAAAGTGGACATGGTTGCTACCTTCACGATTTTAGTCGTTCCAGACTTTTTCTTGGCTTATACTTTAGAAAACACATCTATTTTGTAAATTTGGAATCATCCTACACAGACTGTTTTGTAATCTCTTTTTTTACTTAGTAACCTGAAACTTATTTTAATTATAGAGTATGATGTGAAAGATTATGGGGACCTACCCTTTGCTGATGTCCCTACTGACAGCCCCTTTCGAATTGTGAAGAATCCAAGGTCTGTGGGAAAAGCAAATGAGCAACTGGCTGGTGTGGTGGCAGAAGTCAAGAAGAATGGAAGGACGAGCTTGGTCTTGGGCGGAGACCACAGGTCCAGTTTAATGATCGTCTTTATGGGAGTCTGGTGCAGATGGCACAAAGGAAGTGAAACCAAAACCATGAGAAGAGAGAAAATATAGAAGGGAAAGCATTGATCAATATTTTATACCACATTTTCTGCCTTTTTTCTTTCATTTTTATTGGTTACTCCTTTATTTTAGAAACACAGACTTAGATCTATTTGAAGTCTTGCGTTATCTATATATATTACAGCAGAAAATGCATATAAAATACATATGAAAAGGGACAGGCCGGGTGGCATAGTGGTTAAGTTTGTGCCCTCCGCTTCAGCTGCCTAGGGTTCACAGGTTCGGATCCTGGGTGCAGACCTATGCACTGGTTATCAAGCCATGCTGTGGCAGGGGTCCCACATATAAAGTAGAGGAAGATGGGCACGGATGTTGGCTCAGGGCCAATCTTCCTCAGCAAAAAGAGGAGGATTGGCAACAGATGTTAGGGCTAATCTTCCTCACAAAAAAAAACAAAAACAAAACGAAAAACATATGAGCGGATGTCAGTAAAATATTCAGCACAGGCTTAGATTTCTAAATAAATAAGCACTGAGGAAATTCATCCTCAGCTTACTGTACTTGATTACTGATAACAGGAGCAACTCATTTAGGTCAACTTTTAAAAGTATGTATTTCTCACTACAAAAGTAATAATTATAAATTGTTTGACACATGCACACATATAAAAGAAAAAAAAACAGTGGTAATTGTAGTTCCCTAACAACCCCATTTCATCTGGAATTGAAAATCTGGCATATTTCCTTCCTGTCAATGTTTTTCCTTGCACACGATTTTGTTGAACAATCGTGTGTGTGTAATCTACAGTACAAATTTCCTTATGTTACTTCATGATATATACAAGCATAATTTTTTACCGTTGCTTAATTTTTCATCAAGGTATTATATCACTATCTCTCTCTCTCTCTCTATATATATATATTGTCAGATATTCAGGTTATTTTCAAATTTTCACCATTACAAATAATGTGGAAAAGATCATTTTTGTGCACGAGCCTTTTTAATGTTTATTCTCAAGGTCCAGGACCCGTTATCAGAAGTATGATCAGATCAAAAAGTACAAACATTCCAATGGCTCTTGATGCAGGAGTCAATTCCTTCAGCCTCCTCAGTTTTCTCCTCTAAAGCCAAACTGTTGTTACCAGGGTTTCTGTGACAAAACTGCAATTGAGAAACTAGGGCTCATTTTCTTTTCTACGTGGAAAGATTTGTAAGTGGAAATTTTAAGAGTGGCAAATGGCCCAAAGACAAGAGACCTGAAGGGAAAACAAACATCAAGCTGGATAATCAATAGCTGAACATCAAGGCAGGATTGCTTCCACTTTGAGATTCTACAAGTTCATGGTTCTCTGAAGGAAATCTGAACATCCATGAGTGGGAGTGGAGAATATAGGCATTGTATCGCAAATCCTAATCTTTTAACTTTTCTGTAAAATATTACTTAGCTTTTCCATTCTGGCAAATTTTCTGGAGCTTGGAGTGCTTGAGATGATCTCTGAGGGTTCTGGCCCTGGCTAAGAGTGGGTCTTTAAATGTGTGGCAGGAGAGTAGTAAGTTCAAGCAGAGGATCTGAGCACTGAATAGAGTGAGTGAACACCTCGATGTGCTGGCCGAAGTGCACGTAAGGTCTTCTGAGTGATGCTCCCCAACCATAAAAGAATTGGATTTTAAGAAAAATGGAAGGACTCTCATAATTCACTTGGGAGAATTAAGTATTTACCAAGGGAGAGGCGGGTGCAGAAAATGAGCCTGAATTAACCCTGAAAATCGAATAGTGTCTCATGAGCAAGAATTTCTTGTGTGGTTAGTGTTTTCACATACGTTTAAATTTTGGTTAAACTATAATTTGCAATTTTACTAGAAGGTGGTTTTGAAAAAAAAAAAAAAATCACAAAATTTTTAGTAATGCCATTGATGTAAATATAACTTGTTAGTAAGTATTAAGTGTAAGCTATACTTTCTCTATGGTTATAATTGCTTAATTGGCATCTCCAATTTAAAACCTGTCAGAAGTAATAGCCACTTTGACTTAAAGGAAAACCAAGTGAGCATTGAGTGAGTTAATAATACAATGTATGTAATGATATTGCTAACCTGATGTTCACACAGACTTTTCTTCCTCTAAAGCTTGGCCATTGGAAGCATCTCTGGCCACGCCAGGGTCCACCCGGATCTCTGTGTCATTTGGGTAGACGCTCACACCGATATCAACACTCCACTGACAACCACAAGTGGGAACTTGCACGGACAGCCTGTGTCTTTCCTCCTGAAGGAACTAAAGGGACAGGTAAAAGGCTGGGTGGTTTTCTATTACAAAAGAATAATCTTGAGCAGAAGTTTAGGTGGCGGAAGGCAAGTGAGAACCCCTGTGCCATCATATTCTAGGTGTAATCTCAAACCATTTCCTCAGCAGCCGATAAGGTGGTGGGGCTCTATACCTCTACCTTACTTGATGGTTTGCAAACTGACTCCATATATATCTTCCCTTTTGATTCCTAAACTACCCTTTTTAGTACATGGAGCAGAGAGTAATCCTTTATAAGCAAGTTAGCAGAGGTTCAGATGTTAACCAACTTGCCCAGGATCACATGCCAAGCGTACAGCAAGGTGAGGGCCAGACTGGTCTCTTGCTACCTACCTCTTTCTACTACATGCCACACAGCCTCTCATTCTTACCAGTTTTTAAATGTGGATTACAAGGGTTTATTATTTAATATCTTTGCTGTGAGCACATATCTAAATCAGAACTACCTCGTTTCCTAGAAACTTTTCTAAAAGATGTAAAATGAAATTCCATATTAAAATTGAACATTGTCGCTCACAATTTTTATTGATATGCTGTAGTATATCAATAAAACAATTTATTGATACAACTGTAGCATATTGGTCTTTATGATGATAATTGGGGATTCAAACCTCCTGTTAAATGTCAGAAGCAACATTTTCTGAATTGGTGACCAAGTGACAGGTTTATACACTTGTAAAATGTGTGACTAGCACATGGGAACAGCCAAACTTGGCTCCAGGACATTGAAGAGCAACCAAACGTTTGGTCAAAAATTTCCATCAGCCACTCAAATCCATCCTCTGGATTAAGTTCTGATCGGGAAAGAGAAGAAAAGAAGGAAGCTACGAAAGTAATGGAAGCACACTGACTTCTTTACAGAAAGGTCTGGGAAGGTGGGGCCCAGTGGAAACGGGGCACAGAACAGGTGAAGGCCGATAATGATTCAAGTTATATCTGGGCCACAGGGTGAGGCTGGGGAAGGCCAAAGGACTCAAGGGTGCCACAAGCGGAGGCTGGCCTTCCCTTCTTCACTTGGTATGATATTTTAATGATTTCCTCTAAATTTATATTCTAAATATAAGATATATGCAATCCCTAAGTCCTTACCTTTCAGTGTAAGACTTGCTCCAGAGAAGCATAAAACCAAATGGAAACATTGCGATTTTAGATCCCTGACGTACCAGGATTCTCCTGGATGACTCCCTGCATATCTGCCAAAGATATTGTGTATATTGGCCTGAGAGACGTGGACCCTGGGGAACAGTAAGTCTATTCCTTGATGCGATTTACCTTCATTTTTGTCCTTTTGCATGCTAGGTGTGCTGGTCAAACCCACGAGAAAAAAGTATTTTAAGCACCAAGTCCCTATGTCTATATCCATATCTAGATATATTTATATATACAGTCATGCTTCGCTTAACAACAGGGATTCGTTCTAAGAAATGCGTTGTTAGGTGATCTTATCTTTGTGCAAACATCATAGAGTGTACTGCAGGGGAACAAAATATGCCACCCCAAAATGTGTCTCTTTAACATGAGAATTATTTTAGGCTGATTATTTTTAGTAAACAAAAGACTCAGAAAGCTCTTCTTGTTAAAAGCCTAAAAGAATTTAGATTAAAAAACCTGTCTTAGGAAGCAAGCTATCACCTTAGCATAACATGAACCAGGTGGTAGACAGGGAGGAACCTAGAAAAGCCTGCTTGTTGGGCTCCCTTCTGTGTTCTTCTGTTTCTGTGTGGCCAAAGACTTGTTTTCCAAATGGTTGCTCCTTTTCACCTACCTGTGAATTATCTTTCTTCCCTTTGAAATCCCTGAGTCTCCCCAACCCCAAGATCTTTTATCTTTAGCTGAGGATGGTATTTAAGGTGAGGGCTTTGGCCATCTTGGTGAGTTACTTGGTTTTTCTGGGTTTCCCCCATGTGTACCTATTATTCAACTTCTATTTTTCTCCTGTTAATCAGTCTCATGTCAATTTAATTCTTAGACAAGCCAGAAGAATCTAGAAGGGTAGAGAAAAATTTCTTCCTCCCCTACAGTACTTACGCAAACCTAGATGGTATAGCCTCCTACACACCTAGGCTATATGGTACTAATCTTACGGGACCACCATTGTATATGGGATGTTTTTGACCAAAACGTCGTTTTATGGTGCATGACTGCACACATGTACATATATATTTGTATGCAGGTGATTTTTATCTTAATTGACTTGCTGTTAAAAATACATCGATACATACAGTGTATTCTATGTATTGATATACACATCCCAGAATGTAAATATTTTAAGTTAAATATGTATTTTACCAAATTGATCTTTTCTTTAAAAGGAAATAACATAGTCAGCCTCCTTATTAATTGTAGATTATCTTAATATCTCCTCTTTCATAGCTACATTTTGAAAACTCTGGGTATTAAATACTTTTCAATGACTGAAGTAGATAAACTGGGAATTGGCAAGGTGATGGAAGAAGCACTCAGCTATCTACTAGAAAGGTATGATGCTTGTGTGTGTGTCTGTAACATAAATGTTATTAACAGGACTTGCTACTGATGCTAATAAATGTAAGTTATTAATAAAGCCTGTAAGTAAAATTACAGAACTTCACGGGGTTTTTACTTTTTATAAAGCCAGGTAAGAACTGTATTTATCTACTAAATATTAAACTACCAACTTTAAACTGAATTCCTTTCCTACCTTTTAAAAGAAAGAAAAGGCCAATTCATCTGAGCTTTGATGTTGACGGACTGGACCCGTTTTTCACACCAGCTACTGGCACACCAGTCCTGGGAGGTCTGTCTTACAGAGAAGGTCTCTACATCACAGAAGAAATTTACAAAACAGGTAGGTAAAAATCTGAATGAATAAAGAAGTAAGTGTACACTTGGTCAACATATATTGATACCTCCCTGATCTGAAAATCAAGCCCCAACTGCCACTTCCAGAATCTGCACTGCTGATGCAATAACTGAAGTGGTTTCAGGAGGCCGCTACCTCTTCACACTCCTGGATAATGTTTCAAGTCCAGGTGCTGAATTTAAAATGTCAACTATTTAACAAATTACATTATTTCTATTTGTTGTTGTAGGGCTACTCTCAGGATTAGATATAATGGAAGTGAACCCATCTCTGGGGAAGACACCAGAAGAAGTCACTCGCACAGTGAACATAGCGGTAGCACTAACCTTGGCTTGTTTTGGAGTGGCTCGGGAGGGTAATCATAAGCCTATTGACTACCTTAGCCCACCTAAGTAAACGTGGGAACATCAAATAAAAATCTCACAGCTAATGACGTAATTAGCAAATCTAATATTTACTTAAGCTTACAGTTATCCTCCCAAAGATTTGGTCTTTCAGAAAAATGTTTTGCCTTAGTAAATATTAGTACAATTAGGATAAACTGTATCAATTTCCTCTTGGTGTAAAATTCAAGATTTGGAAATTCTAACTTTTGTGAAATTAGAAAGCTTATATTTCCCATCTTGGCAAAAGACTTATCCTTAGAGAAGTATACATTAATTTCCAAATAAAAATTTGCAGCATTAAAAATAAACACACACCTCTATAAGCACCCCCACATCGAGTGGGACTCCTGATGTCAGGAGATAAAACTACCCCACCTGAAAAGGGGCCATATTTCCATGTTGTTCAGAAGATTCTGTTGTTGTCTACATGTTTCTAAATACATGCAAAATACACACACACACACATACATACTCATCCTGCTTAAAACTATCAGGATTTAAAAAGCCACCGTGGAATCATCACTCCCAACACTGGAAGACCTTGGTGAAACTGAATCTCTGGCTCTGGTTTCTCCATCTGTGAAGTGGGTAATCATAAGGCCTGGGCAATCTCCAAACTCATTACTGTTAGATCACTATGTTTTACTTTTTCTAAACGTCAAACATGACATTGGTTTATACTTTAAGCATGGCTGCTGTTCAAGCAGCCTTTTGGGAGGTAGAAGAAAGAAACCCAATAGCTATCTTGCTTCTAAGACCTGCTTGTCCAGAAGGAGGTTTCAACTAGAATTATCTGTGGCTTCCAAGCTCTCCACCCTTCACTCATTGCAATTAGAGCCTGTCTCATGAGCTGAAATCTCTAAACATCCTAAAAACTCATGTTGGCCCTGGAATACAGTGAGAAAGGTGGAAAAAATAAATGAGAGTAAACTATACTCAAAACCAGGGAAGTAAACTTGTGCCCTTCTCCCCAACTTACATAGAACTCAAGTGGACTCTGTAATAAAGCAGCCCCGGGAAAGGACTTGTATTGTTGTGGTTGTTTTGTTCTAACAGCTGTATGTTAAAGAACCATCTGATTTTTCACATGCAACCCAGAACTGTAAACCTAACTGTTGACACTATGGGCTTTGTAAAATAAATATTTCACTGAATTACTTTTGCATAAGAGCAATTAAGATGGATTTTGCTCTAGAGCATATCGTCCAGTACAATAGCCGTATGTGATTATTTAAATTAATTAAAGCTTAATAAAATTTAAAAAGTTGAGTTTCAGAATTCCAGTGCTCAATAGGCACATGTAGCTACTAACTACTGTATCGGACAGCACAGACATAGAATATTTCCACCATTGCAGAAAGCCCTATTGGATAGAGCCACTATAAAGTTACTATTAATTTTCAAAAAGAAAAACTTTTAGGATGTAATGAATATAAAGGCATTTTTTTCCCCTCAGGTGCATTCTAAACCCAAATAAAGCTTCTGTCTTCTATTAATGTCTTTGATTAATAATAACTCTTTTAAAAGCCTATTTGGAGAAAATCACATTCCCATTTTTTTAAGCTAGTGAGGGAAAATTGAATTTTCAATTTTAATAAATTAATTGGGATGTATATGTCCTTGAGAAAGTGATATTGATTTTCACTTCCTTTATTCTATTTGTATAACACCAGTTTCACAATTATTCCCATTCTAGGATCCCAAAGCAATATATTCCTCAAGGCAGCAAGAATATATTGAGACTATGTTAAGAGTAGTACTTGAAATCCTTTCTAGCATAAAATTTCTGGAGAATTTTAAGAATATTATTAACCTAAAAAATTACTTATACCATTATATAAATTTTAAGCTGGACTTACATGGCAAATAAAGATTTAGTGATGATAATATCATGAACCAGGAAGAAGATAAAGGTCTATGAGGAATGTATTTCGAAATAAAGATTTGAAGTACAGTTGGTTAAACTTGACTAATTCTCTTTTTAAAGAATCAGTAACTCTTAATTCTTCAGTCACTAGCTAGTGTACGACCCATGGAGGAGGCCCAGTTCTGTTATAACCCAGCCAGCACATTGACTGGAACACAGCAGACACTCATTCAAACTTAGTAACTAATCAAACAGCTTGTTCGTTCAACAGATTTTACTAATTTTTTTTTCAAGTCTTTTACAATCTTAATGCTGTTTCTCCCCAAATTATCAGTATGTCTCTCAAAATCTAATAAACCCTAAAGAATGAAAATGTATACTATATTTAAAAATATAAACACTTAAAAATTTTAAGATTACAAAAATTCAAAGATTCACACCATTTGCCAGGTCAGAGTGTTAATCTGGAAAAGGAATTAATTTATTTTTAAAAACAGAGATTAAAGAATCACCATTTAAGCATCACTTTATTAAGTTTATGCATTTCTAGCTATGTTACTTTCTTACATGACTTCCAACTCATTTCATACAGTAAGTTCAAGACCACAGCAAAGACAAAAACTTGTCAATCTACCTTGATAGAAATATTAACCTATTTACCCATAAAAATTTTAAGCTATTTTTAAAAGAATATGAAACTGTGTTTGCTCCTGCAATGCAATGAAATCTAGAGTCCTTTACTTGACAAAAATCTCTTATCCCAAAGATACACCAAAAGAGATTTATGTTTAAAAGGATTTGTAATAACTATTTTACATGTGTGTGGTGTCTTTAAAACAATGTATTTGAAGACTGAATAAAACATTAATAAAAAATAAAAACAAAACCAATGGATAGAATAGGAAAGACTGAGAGTGTCTAGTAAAAGTCATTTGATCACAGACACCTCCATGTGCCTGGGTAGCTCTAATAAATTGTTATGGATATGAACAACATGTAGCTTACTTAATCTCTTAGAGACAAAAATATAGATAGGGAGATCGGAGTTATAATGTGTCAATAGATTCACCACTTGAATCAAAATAAAACAATCTGAACGGCACTGCTTCTCCTATATCACTATGTAGCCTGATCATGTTCAGATTTCATAGATTTGAGTCCACTTTCAGAGACAGATGGATTTCCACTTTCACCACAGTACCCGCTCACTTCACTGAGTTACTGGTAAAGACACTGGCACCTGATTAGACTGAGGTGCTGGAGACCCACTACTGATGGCTTGTGGAGGCACTGTAGCTGGTTCCATCTTGCTAATGTGTGTGATGAATCGAAGACGAAGTTTTAAAGCTGGTTTTAAATTACAGATAATCTTCTCTACCTAAAAAACGAAAACACATTAAATAACATTTTAACCAGAGAACTTCAATTTCCCACCTTTAAAGAGGTGATTTATACACATTTCCTGAGATAATAAACTAGGGAGTGGAGTTGAGTGGATGAGAAATTTCTCGTCATGTTTTGTGTTTTAAGGAAAACAGACAAAATTATTTCTCTCTTACATGAGAAAAAACGTGTATTCTCCCTCACACAGACATTATATATACGTACACATGTGTATGTGTATATATCTGTATATGCATACACTTACAAAAACATAGCCACCTACCTAGCTAGCCAGTCACCCCACTGCCAAAAGCTAGTATAGTTTACACTAGAAATTTTACACGTCCAGTAAGTTGATCATCCTTTCAAAATGCCATGTTCTCAGAAGCATGAAGCATGATTATATTTTGAAGTTCTTTGAATAACTTGTCAGTAACATTTATCCAGCAAGCTAATTTTTTTTGGTTTTAATTTACACATGGAATTTAAACTAAATAATTTCAGATCTACTCTTACTTAAAATACTTTAAAGAAGTAAATACATCAAGCAGTTCCATAGTTTTCTCAGCTTTACTCACATGTTCTTTGACTTTACCAGGAAAGATCAGCCCATTAATAATTTTTCCTTTCTGTATTCCCTTGTGTCAAAGTTTCTTAGGCCCAAATATACAGGATATGCTAAATAAAACATTTCTGCATTGGTTCCTACTCAGCTTTCCTTGACAATCCTGCTGAGGCATAATGGAGTCAACATCCTCCCCACCCCATGTCCCCGGTTTCAAGGAAAGAATCCAGTAGACTGAGATTCCTATGTTTATATATCAGGTTGCCTTTCTTTCCCATTATAGAAAGAAGTAACATTAAAGTAGGGAGGGGAGGTCATTTAACTTCACCCATCTGCCCTACCTCCACCCTTCTGAACAGCTGAGATTCTGCTTCCTACAGAGAGGAAACAGTTATGGTTCAGGAGGTCCTTGCCACTTCAGACAGCTCTAATAGGAAGTGGCTCTTTATATGCCTGGTCAGAATGCACCTCCCGTTAACTTCACCAGAGTTTACATGTCCTTTGAAGTGACACATAACAAATCTAATACGTATTCCAAATAGCAACCCTCCAAATAGTGAGGACACAAACAATTTCCTAGGACTTTTAAATTTCACGGTAAGCATCCCAGCTCCTTCAGATACCCTTCATGAATTACTCTCTTGACCCTCCTGGCTTCAGTCTTTTAGTCATGCTGCTATTTGTCCAGTGTCCCCAGTGTACCCTAATGACTGTGGGGAAAAGTAGGACCTCCTTCACTCACAACTCAACACCTCTCTGGTCTTTTCAGTATCCATCCCAGACTGTTTCTTCCTAATGAGATTACTATTAATCAGCCCCCTAGTTCTCTTTCAGATGTCCTGTTGCAAATATCAAGGGAGAAAAGTGAGAAATTAAAACATTTACTTTTACTTTAATACTATATCCAGAATAATATGCTCATGTAACCTAAAAAGGTATGATATCAACCTTTTCCTCTTAAAAGAAAAAAACTGACAAAAACACTCACCCAAACAAAAATGTCTACTAGCATATGTTCAAGTTTTCTAAACTAAACATCATTAAAAAATAATTAAAGTTAACTTACTTGTTCTTTTACGCTGTCACCAGTAAACATATACTTCATATGATACAGGAAGTCACAGATGGGATCCATGTAATTTAAGTGGGCACTACACTGGTCTACATTCAGCAGCATGTCATAAAATGCAACACCAATCTATTTAACAAATAATATAAAATTATTTAAATGGTCAAGAATGGTTCAATAATTCAGCATGATGTAGCTGGACTCTATCACAAGACTAACAAAGAGGGAGGACACGTTTGTTGAAGGAACTGTCACTGATTACACAAACCTCCATAGTCATGGGAGATACGAGACGGCCTGTACTTGTAATGAATCCACAGTGCTACAAAATGCCCCTTAGTAGGGCTTAAATGCAATTTCTCTTCATAACTTAGTAATTTCTCTTAAAATTAA